TAGGCTCTCAAGTGTCTCTCGGGAGCTCTGCAGGGTTTCTAGAAGCTCTCCGTGTGGCAGCCAGCTTTCTTCCATGCCAATCTGCCCTTTTACATCCCTGAGTGACTGGCTGAAGCCACACCTAGACACGACGGCCGCAGGAACATCACGAAGCGGACAATTCACAAGTGGGGTTATGTGGACAGATATGCCGAACAGCAAGTCAGGCCTATAGAGCAGACCAGACCAGACCAGTTAGCTGCCCGTCCCCTGAAGGGGAGCCGGTGGCCACATCCTTCACCCACAGAGCAGCTGCTGGGGTCAAACCACCCACCTTTCCGTTCCTAGCCGATGCTTTAACCACTGAGCCTTCGCAGCTCCTAGACAGGTGTAGGGTTTATGACACACATTTTTGGGAGACGCATTCAATTTACATCTCTGCCCAAGATGCCGCTGGGTGGCCATGACTCTGCGGAGACGGGCTGGGCCCCTGCTGCCGCCTTTCAGCTGTCCTCCCTCCCGCCTCTGATCCAGACAGAGCCCAGGCCTCCCGGGTGAACTTCCAAGATGTGACCCTTTTCCAGGTCCACGGTCAGGTGAACTAGGACAGCCAACCACCTGCCCCCCTCCCACCGACCAGTAAAGCCCGCTGCCCCTGGGCCCTTGTTCTGCGAGCGGCTCAGTAGGACGGAAGTACACTGCTCCCTGTGGTTCTGGGGCTGTGAGTCTTTACTGCAGCACACAGCCTCCGTGCCGTCCCTGAGCAGCTGGTGGGGCTGAACTACTGACCTTTCTGTTCACGCATGGTGCCTCCAAGGCTCCTTAAGCTCTGTCCTGCCCCCTCTTCTCTGCCCTCTGCAGGGACAGCTGAGGTCTCTGAGCCGTGCTCTCAGGCCCAGTCATGAACCCCTGGGCTGTCAATTTGTTAAATTTTCCGATAATGCAGCTCCGCCCCTTCCTTCACCCCTCTGGAAGACCTGAGCCTGCCCCTCAGGCGATTGCTTACAGGATGAAAGTGCTTTGCTGTCTCCGTGTCTCTCTGCTGCTTCCAGAGCCCTAACGCCTCCAAAATATCAAAGTCACTGCCGCCAAGCTGATTCCGACTCATCACCAGGCAGAGTAGAAGTGGCCTTGCTGCCCAATGGGTAATCACCATGCCCAGGGCTCCTCTCCCCAAAGCCTAGGGGGGCTGCCTAGAGGGACTGTTAGGCTCCTGCTCATCACTCAGCACTGCCCCCCAAGTGTCCCCGCTCCTGGTTTGAGCTCCCCATGACAGCAGCAAGGGCAGCAAATGAAGTGGTGCCGACAATCCCCGCTGTGCCGGTATGGAAACAAACTGCAGGGAGATGGGTCCTTAGAAGACTGGTCTACAGCAGGATGGGCCGCCTGTCTCCACTGAGGGCGGGCTCTAAAGACAGTTCTGAGACCCTGTGGACTGTCAGTGCCTGCCTGCTCCCTCCCGCCCCGATTACAAGCCCAGCCGAATCCACTGCATTGGCTTGAGGCCAGCTCCTAGCTGCCCCATAGGACAGGGTGAACTTCTTCACGGGAGCAGGCGAGGCTGTCCTTCTCCCTCAGGGTGACTGGTGGGTCCGAACTGCTGACCTTGAGGTTGGCAGCCCAGTGCGTGTGTAACCCAGTACACCACCAGAACACCCTGGAACGCCAGGTCTGTCTGTCCTGGCTGGTTGGGTGAGACTGCCTAGGGATGCCGGGAACAAAGCCACCCTGTTCCCAGTGGGGATGGGCGGGTCAGGGGCAGGAGATGGGTCTCCAGGACCCAGCCCTGTGTGGCTCTGTGGGTGTCCGGAGAGCCAGCCTGCCTTCCGTGAACTAAGGGACGCTGGGAGGTTTGGGGAATCTGGGCGGGGCTCCTCAGGCCACAGCTTCCCTCCCAGAGGCCTGAGCGGCCCTGGGACAACAGGGCAGTGATTCTGGAAGGCGCTTCAAGGAGGGGCTGCCCCCGTCAGCCCAGCTTTCCCAGAGAGCACCAGCCCAGTCAAGGGCGGTCAGCATGGCTCCCTGAGCCCAGCTGGGAGGTGCTGGCAGCTCCTCCAGGGATGGGAGGATGTGCCAGGGATGGGAGCACAGTCAGGGCACCTCGCAGAGCAGGGCACCTGCGGTGGCAATACTGCAGCAGAGAGGGAGAGTGGGTTCTCGCCTGCCCAGTGGACCCACAGAGTGGCTGAGGGAGAGGCAGGGGGCCACCGGCTCTGAGGATCCCCTTTTTCTCCACCTGCACACAGGCTCAGAGGACACGAGGTCACTGCGGTCAGAGGGCACGAGGTCTCAGGTGTGTTGGGAGCATCTGCTGGGCAGTGCCCCCTCACTCCTTCCTGTGCCAGGGACATGCACAGGGTGCCCTGGACCTGGGCTCAGGCCTGAACCCAATAGTAGAGACACCCTGTCAGAGTGCTGAGGGAGGAGCTGAGCCCCTCCCTTCTCCGGTGGGGTCCTGGGGGTCGATCGAGGCCCGACTGGATGTCTGAGCAGGTCGCCCATCCTGGGAGGAGTAGGCGTGTCATGCAGTACGGAGCTGCTCCCGCACCCGCTCCCCAGGACAAGACGCTCGCTCCCCGAGTCTCGCAGTCGTTGCTGGTGGAGCTCCTGGCTGCAGTCTGTGTCTGTCCGTCCATCTTCCCGAGGGCCGTCCTCTTTCTCACTCGCCCCGCCCCTCTCCGAGAACTGGCCTTTCTAATGACCTGTCCACGGCACCTGAGGTGCAGTCTTGCTCTTCTCCCTTCTGGCTGTGCGTAGCCTTCCTCCGGCAGACCTCAAGGGCTTTGAGTCTTCTCGGGTCCGTCTGAAACCGTATTTTGGGTGCCTTCCCACCCTCCGAGGCTTATCTTCAGACAACATGCCGCCGCTTTTCCGAAGGCTGTTGGGGCTGGTTGGTCAGCCTCTTCCCCTAGTTCAGCTTAGTCTGGAAGCCCCGTTGACAGGTGTCCTCAGTGGGCCGCCCTCGGGTGTTGGCACTTGCTTTCGGCTTCCCAGCACCGTACCAGCCCACACAGTCCAGCAGCCTGAGAGGGAGCGGCGGATCTGGAGTTCATAGTGGGCACCCTGCACTGGGGATTCAGGTCACGGAGCGAAGGCTGGGCAGGGGCAATACCTCCAGTTTGCAGAAGGGGCTGGAGGCCCACACAGTCATGGTGATGCTGGACTGAGCAGGAAAGCTGGCCCCACCTGCCCCCCACCCCAACCCAAAAAATAGAGAGCTGAGAGGCTGGTGCGGGTGTTGATGGGAGGGACTCTATAGAGGTGCCAAGCCTAGTGCCCTGAGTCTCTTCCACTGGTCCCTGCAGGGTGCCCCGCACTGGGCTGGGCTGGGCTGGGCTCAGTCCCCATGGGCCAGGCTACTTTGCAGGTTCACAAAAGCCCAGGCCTAGCAGGCTGACTGCAGTCTTGGCTTCTTTCTCAGTGGGGGGGATGCCCCTTGCTGCCTGGAGGGGCACGGCTCCACGTTGACTCCTTGGGGAGTGGGGCCAAGGACCGCTGTCGGTCTAGCAGCTGGCACAGTCCTGGCTGCTGCGGGAAGGGAACCACACAGGCTCTCGAGGGCTCTGCCGGGGCCCGCTGACTTTGAGTGTGGGGAGGACAAGCCCATCCCGTGCCTTGAGAGGGAGGGACTGTGGCTGGAAATACATCAACACAACAGCAGATGTGTTGAGCTTGTTGGCTCAACAATGACTAGATGTGGCCAGTCGGGCCACCCTCCTCACGGGATGGCTGCTGGATCTATTGCTCTTCGGCGAGGCTTGCGGTGTTAGCTGGTGTGGGTGATTTCCCCGGGCCCACCCCTGCCTTCAGCCATCACATGCATGGCCTGGCTGGAAGCCGAAAGGAGCCTTTTACCTGAGCTCAGGGAGGGGGCCTGCATCCCTGCACGGCTAGGCGTGGAGGCACTGCATGGGGGTCAACCCCAGCTCCGGAAGCCCCGGCACGGCTGGGGCTGGTGACTAGGGGGCTTCCACACACCCAGGATGGGCTCGACGTCAGGAAGATACCCGGGCAATTGTGTGACACAGTGGAAGCCCTTTGCATCTCAGAGTCTGAAGGTCCGTGGAGGAGGGGAATTAGCCCCCACCCTGCCTGCCTGCCCCAGAGCCCCGCGCAGCCACGTCTGCCGTCTGAGGAGTGAGGGACAGAAGCCAGCACTGGGCACATGCAAGGGGCCAGATCTTTGTCTCAAGTGCACTCTGAGCAATTGGTGACCGCTCTTGAAAAGTCCTCCGGGGTCTCAGGTCCTCACTGGAGTCTTTGTGCTGGTGACCAACAGCAGCTGACACAAATTGAGACGGACCTGAAGTCCCGAACCGCCACGTACAACACACTCAAGATTAACCTGGAGAACCTGGAGAAGAAGTCTATGTGAGTGATCCTTCTCCTGCGTGTGTGTGTGTGTGTGTGTGTGTGTGTG